AAAATGGGGATGTCACACTGCATATACAAGGAACACAAAGGGAAAAGCACTGATTGTGGGTGTGCATGTAGACGACCTCATAGTTACAGGTGACTGTAACAATGAGATAACACACTTCAAGGAACATATGAACATGAAATTTGAGATGACTGATCTAGGAAAACTCTCATATTATCTTGGAATTGAAGTCCATCAGCATGAAGGAACAATCACCCTAAAGCAAACATCATATGCCAAGAAAATACTAGCTAAGACTATAATGGAGGAGTGCAATCCTTGTAAGTACCCAATGGAAGCTAAATTAGAACTAACCAAGGATGAGGATGGAGTACACGTTAATTCCATAGAGTATAGGAGTGTGGTTGGTGCACTGCGATACCTGACCCTTACCCTAGCCGACATCAGTTATGCTGTTAGGTTGGTAAGTAGATTCATGGAGAGACCCACAATTCAACATATGAAAGCAGTGAAACACATCTTGAGGCATGTGAAAGGGACCACATACTTGGTCTGGTCTATGGCAATGGTAATAAAGAAAGTGTTATCACCAGGTATACTGATAGCAACTTAGCAAGAGATGTAAATGATAGAAGAAGCACAAGTGGAATGGTATTTTATCGCATGGGGATCAATAAAGCAGAGTTGTTATCCCTCTCATCCTATAAAGCATAATTCATGGCAACCACCTCAACAACATGCCAAGCAATCTGGATCAGATGACGGCTAAGTGAAATAACTAACTGCAAGATCAAGGCATTTGTGTTGTACATTGACAACAAGTCTACTTTAGACATGGAAAAAAATCATGTATTCCACAGGAGAAGAAAACATTTTGATACGAGACACCATTTCATTCGTGAACGTGTGGAGGAAAATGACATTGTTGTCCAACATGTGTGTAGTAAGAAACAAAGAGCCGACATCTTTACTAAGTTAATGGGGAAGACTCAATTTTTGGAGATGAGAGATCTGTTGGGAGTATAGCAGGTAATAAGTTGAAGTTCAAAGTAATGGCATGACCTGAACACTTTGGATTAAGGGAGAGTATGTTGGATGTCATCCAAATGTGCTTAAAAGACTCAGACTCTCTTCAGGGGTATTTTAGTCAATTTTTATGTTTGAATAATTAAAAGGCCATGTAGGCCATCAATTTTGTTTTCTTTTGTAAAAGTATATCATGGATAGTTAGTTGCTATCTTATAGGGATTTATTTGCTTTATGTATTTCATTCGTTTCATTTTTAGTGGGAGTGCCTAAAAATAAAACGAGAAAATTGTCCCAAAAGCTTCCTCTATTCTTCCTGCTGTGTACTCTATTGTTTTTTGTTTTGCACCAGGTGCAGGGGTTGATTCCATCAGTGTGGCGGTGCTAATGAGAATGGTGAAAGCTTTCATTTATAATCAGTTACTGGAGGTGGTGAATGAGTTCAAGAAGAAGAAAACAAAGTTCCTTGTATGGTAGCATTTGATCAGGAAGAAGATGAATTTGGTGTTTTTCTCAATTTGCAATCTTTGATTTTGACTTTCAAAGAGATAAAGACATGTAAGAGAGACGTGAGAGGCTAGTGCTTTTCCCATTGACCAATCAAAGCCTTAAAAATGCTTAATTTTCATTAATTTATATTAATCCTTAAAATGATTCTCATTTTGCATGTCCATTTATCGATGTTCGGTAATTTTTTCGATTGTTCCGAATGATCGATTTTAATTGAAGGATTGTAAAAACCTGAACGGATAATTTCTAATACATCTACTTTTCGATTTTTGCAAATACTTTTATAAAATTTTTTTGAGTATGAAATCAAATATTAGACCTTAGCGTGAATCTAAAAATGTTCTCAGAATCTCCGTCTGAGGTGTAAAAGTGTCTCAACCGATGAAAACAATTTATGAAATTAGGAAAAACCAGTGTTATACTAATTTGGTTTCTTAGAACAGTCGGATCTTTTGCATACGAAGTCCGTTTAGGACTTTCTTTATATATTCAAGATCTGGGAAACATGTACTACAAAGATAAAATATTTTATTTTTTCACAAACGCTTACTACAAAATTTCAGTTTTTCAAACGTTAACTAAGGGTACAATTTGTGCTTTATGATTCGGTTTAGATTTTCGACAACGGGAAGTAAGATACCATCTCATAAACTATTGTAATCGAAAAAACACTACATTTTAGCCAAAATATGCATTTAAATTCAACTGGGCAAGTTACAAGAAGGTTTTCGGTGAACTGACTGTTTATAGAAAGGTCAACTTGATCAAAGTTCAACGGTCAACTGTAAAATTCCACAGCCAAAAGTCAACTTAATTGGCTACCATGTCGTGGTCAAGCATTAACTATGTCGTGGAAGCCTCGTGACAGAATAATCATGATACTACCTATCGCTATGTCGTGGGACCTGATCTAACCAAATTAATTTCTTAAGCTCTTATTCCTTTAAGATACACATTCATGCTTTCCAAAAGGCTTTCTTACACCCATTGAGTTATAAAAATTGTTTCTTTATAGACATGCTTGTCCAATGCATGTCTTTCCCAAGCTAGGTCACAACAATGATGGAAATGTGGTCAAAATCTCATGCATGAAGCCAATACCTGACTAGACCTCATATTTGGATCACTGAAACTCAAAGGGACCTCAAGTATACTTAACGTTGACAAATATATGGAATCCATCCACTTACACTCTCACAAACATGGATGAAAATATATAAAGACCTAGATCTAGAAACATAGTACATAAACATTGGAACTTGAGGACTTACAATGGTCCAAAATATATGCTACAAAGTGGTGAGAGAGATTTATGGTTGCATCTTTTCTCAACAGACACAACCACCAAAAAGCTTCAATAACTCAATAATGGAGGCTAGGTTTAAAAGGAGGTGATAAGGGTAGAGGGTGAGCAAACCCTAGCCATCATATCCCTTAAATAAATCATGCTGGTAGTCGCCACGTTGTTGCCAATACCCTGCCATGTCGTCGCGCCCTAAATAAAGGCGTGTTTCCATCGGGTGCCTCCATGTCCTTGTCTCATCACCACCATGTCCTGGCTACCAAAAACCATATATTTTAAGTCTTAAATGCCCAAAACCACAAATGTAATTATACCTGTAACTTGGTGTTATAATTCTCTCCTACTTGAACTAGATTTTATCCTTGAAATGCTCAGTTTATAATAGATCTGGATAGTGTTCATGCATCTCTGCTTCGGGCTCTAAAGTCCATTATGACCCCCTCCGGTGTTGCCACTGAACCTTGACTAAGGGAACCACCTTGTTGTGCAAGGGCTTCATCTTCCTATGAAGAACCGCCACTGGTCTCTCTACATAGTTCAGGGCACTTGTTAACCTGAATGTATTCTAATGGGACCACCATTGTATCATCCACCAAGAAATTCCAAAGCTAAGAAACAGGGAAAGTGTTCAGAATCTGGCTCAGCTCCTTAGGCAAATCTAACTGGTAGGTCACCTTGCCCACCTTGACTACCACTAGAAAAGGTTCGATGAACCGGGGGCCCAACATGCCTTGCTTCTTGAAGCGTATAATACTCTTCCAGGGTGATACCTTCAGCAAAATCATAACTCCAACCTAAAACTTCAACTTGGATCGCCACCTACATCACAAATCTTATGTTGGGTATATGCTGTTTGATTTGCTGCATAACCTCTTTATCTGGAGCACTAACTCAGTTCTCCTCAAGACCGTATGGCCAACCTCTCCCTAACAAACTGGTTTCTAACTCCTCTTCCTATAAAGGAGCTCATAAGGAGGTACACAAATACTAGAATGATAGTTAATGTTCTATGAAAACTAAGCTAAAGGAGGTAAGAGTCCCAACTTCCAACAAAATCAATAACATAGGATCTCAACATATCCTTGAGCATTTGAATAGTTTGCTCACTCTTCCAATTAGTATGTGAATGATAGGCCGTGCTAATATTCAGTCTAGTGCCTAAATACTTATGAAACCTCTTCAAAAATTTCAAAGTGAATTAAACATCTTGATCATATACAATGTAAAATGACACACCGTGGTGAGCAATGATCTCTCACACATAGATATCAGCTAATTTCTCGACTGAAGAACTCTCTTGAAGAATAAGAAAATAGACACTCTTAGTCAGGCGGTAGACAATCAACTAAATGGAATCAGATTCCTTAGCCGTCGTTGGTAGTTTTGTGATAAAATCCATGGTGATCTTTTCACATTTCCAAATAGAAATCTCCAAAGGTTGTAACTTGTTGTTCAGTTTTTATTGTTCGGCCTTACCTTTTGATAGGTCAAAAACCTCTCAACAAACCAAGCTATCTCTTTCTCTCTCTCTCTCTCTCTCTCTCTCTCTCTCTTTCTCTTCATGCAAGGCCACCAGTAACTAAGACTCAAGTCTCGATAAATTTTTGTGCTCTAGGGAGAATCGAGAACCTGGACATATACATCTC